ACAGCTGCTCGCAACAGGTTTGACCACTCAGCCCTGGCAGATCCCCCAGGGTCACCTGCACCACAGTCACACTACTTATGGTTGCCCGGGGCTGGAGATGGCTCAACCATCGAGATCACTGCTGCTCTTCCCGACAACCCAAGTTCAGTTCCCAGTTCGTATCAGGTGGCTCACAACCACCTGTAACTCCAGCTCCAGGGAATCTAAAGCCTCTGGCCTCTGAAGGAGCTCGAACTCGTGTACAAATTCATATGCAGACACACACATCTACATATAATTAAAAACAATTTTTTAAAAATTTAAAGGAAATGGTTTCTCATGAAAGAACAAAAAACTGTATCCTGCAGTGCTTAGATCAGGCAGCCACTACCTCTCATCTCAGAGTGAGAGCAGAGTGCAGATGTGAAACCAAAGCCTTCGGGAGTGCCGCACCAACGTCACAGAAATCCAGGGCAGAGACTTCTCTGAAACCACGTTTCCCAGGGAGAAGCCTCTCCTAAGTCAAACTGGGGCTCTGACCACTGCTCTGGGGAAGGAATGTAGAAATAGGACAGTCTTTCATTTAAACACGGTAATTGTTGGAACACCCCACAAATCCCTACATACTCTCTAAAATGGCTGGCAAAGGAAGCAAATGTTCAGAGAAGAAACTGGGAGAGTGAACTGCTTTCCCTATTCCTCTTCCCCCAGCCACCCCGGAAGAGTCCCCTGATTCTCCCTCAGGGGCCCCCTTCCTACTCTACACTCTGGTGCTTTTATCTGCAGCCTACACTGTCAACCAGTATTGGCAGATGAATAGTTCCCAATCCCACACTACACACCTCTACCTATGCCCTGGGGTTACCTTTAAAAAGCTCAGCATTGCAGAGCCTACCCTCTTGTGGTCCACTGCCTCCCTGGGTAAATGCACCCCTAGCTGTCAACATGAACCCATCTCAGCAATTCTCCTTCCTAAACAGTGTCATTCTTGTTTCCCCACCTGCTACCACTTGGGATCTCAGTTTTTCAATCTTACCTTTGTCACCAAAAAAATTAGGAGTATCCACATGCCCGTTATTTTTTTATAAATTAAAATACACCTATTTCTATAGCAATACAATAATACAATCATAATGAACACTTTGAACTTTTAGAAGCTTTAAACAGATTGTCTAAAATGTTCTTCCTTACAGTCCAATGAGTCATTTTGCATATCCCTGGGGTTAAAAAACCTGTATTTTGAAGCGTTGGTATATGAGACTGCTCCTGTAAGTAAGAAATGTATGTATACATATCCATATATTCTTATATTTATAAAAATTCTTACAATATATAATATGTACATGCATGTATATCATACAGATATGCATGCGTGTATGTCTGTGTACTGGCTGGTTTTATGTCAACTTGACACAAGCTAGAGTCAGAGACGAAGGAGCCTCAGTTGAGGAAAGGCCTCCAAGAGATCTAGCTCTAAGGCATTTTCTCAATTAGTGATCAATGCGGGAGGCCCCAGCCCATGGTGGGTGGTATCATCCCTGGGCTGATGGTCCTGGGTTCTGTAAGAAAGCAGGCTGAGCAAGCCATGGGAAGCAAGCTAGTAGTAAGCAGCACCCCTTCATGGTTTCTCTATCAGCTCCAGCCTCCAGCTTCCTGCCCTGTTTGAGTTCCTGTCCTGACTTCCATAATGAGCAGCAATATGGAAGTGTAAGCCAAATAAACCCTTTCCTCCCCACTTGCTTTTTGGTCATGGTGTTCAGTCACAGCAACTGAAACTCCATCTAAGACAGTCTGCTGACGTGTAAATGTAAATTTCAAAGAGCCTCTTTTCTCATGTACACATTTCATGATGATATGCATTGGTAAAGATAATTATTATCTTCTAAAGCCACACACAAAAGCAAAGTTTTCGAACTGCGAGAAATTTACAAAGTACTACAGCTTTGTTTTTTCATGCAGCTCCTGAAAGTGAGGTACACTGCTCTCACCTCCCTACTGCAGTCTCTAACCTGTCAGTATTCTGTGGACTGTCCCTTAACCTCCGCGCTTTCTGAGACTGGATATTGCTACCACTCCAGAGCTGATCCAGAAAACTCACTTATTCTTTCCTCCCCTTACCCTCACATCCTTGACTACCACCTAATTGACACATGATAAACTCTGAAAACATATAACTAACATCAGGATAAACAGTAATATAACAGAAAACACGAATATAATCATTCTTAAACTCACTAATGTGCAGATAAATGGTAAAAGCTTATTTTAACATATTCACAGAATACAATCGTGGGTCCCACCCACAACGAATCTCCAAATGAGCCGGGCTTCTTACACATTAAGAATTTTACATTTAAATCATTAGGGAAAAAAAATCCTCTGAAACTCACACCAGTCACAACATGTTTATCTCCTCACTCTGGCAGCGCAGTTAAGAGCAGGACATTCACAGAACACTAGTCAAAGTATTTTCTTCAGACAACATGCTGTGTTATACACCTCCCTCTCTGCCCGTAAGCCAGGGCTGGTTTTATTAGCAAAAAGCCAAATAGTAAAGGAATTACATTAGGCAGCAAGCATTCTGGACAAACTTATTAATTTTCAAGATAATCTGTCAAACCAATTAATTTTCCTTGTAATAAATAGTGATGAGAGGTGATCAGCTTAATTAACACAGAACTACATTTTCATTTCAGCGATGTTGATTAAGGACAGACTCAAATTAGGCTGATCAGAAAATTAAAAAGACAGTTGGCAGTTGGTGTTAAAAGCACTAAATCCGGGGCCCAGTGGTGGTGGAGAATGCCTCTGATCCCAGAACTAGGGAGGCAGAGGCAGGTCGATCTCTGAGACTTGTTCAAGGCCAGCCTGGTCTACAGAGCAAGTTCCAGGATAGCCAAGTCTACACAAAGAAACCTTCTTGAAAACCAAAAAGAAAAAAGAAAAAAAAAAGTTCTACATCTGTGCTTTTTCAACTTTGTTAATTCTGTACTTGTACTCTGCATGTACAGAATTCTGAAGATTAAAGTGGAGGGGGCTGGAAAAACAGATGCTCAGTGGTTAAGAGCACTCACTAGCTGCTCTTTCAGAGGACCTGGTTCTGTTCCTAGTACCCACATGGTGACTGAGAACCATCTGTAGTCCGGGTCCAGGGGATCTGACTCCCTCTCCTGTCTTCCACAGCTGCTGCACCGCCCACCCGCATAAAAATGAAAACTTTATAAAGGTAACAACCTGGGCCAATGAGATGGCTCAGGACATGAAACATTTTCCCGAGCCGGGCAACCTGAATTCAATCCCTAGAATCCATGTTTGATGGACAAAAAGAACAAATCTCACAAATGTATCCTCTGACCTCCACACGTGAGTGTCCCTACACCCACACACAAAAATAATTATAAATTAAAGAAACCATCTCAGTGCACAACTTCACATCCTTTTAAAAAGACTTCCACAATGCAGATTCTTCTACGGCAGTCCTGTGAGCTCAACACAGATAAGCTAGAATTTGCTTTCTACTCTCCCCAAGTGCTTACATACCAGTGTTTCATCTGTTTTATATTTGTCATTCTATCACCTTCAGTCATTCATCCTTGATGAATCACAATCACTCATAAACATGAATATCATACTGAGATTAAGTCATATAATCACTCATGAATATAAATATAATATGTTCTATATAAATATGAATATATAATATATAAATACGAGTAACATAATCGCTCATAAATATGAATATCATACTGAAATTCTTCCCTTCTGGTCTTAATGTACACAGATGTGTCATAGTTAACTTTCAACTCAAAGTTAGCCTTTTCTACAGGTTATCTAGGATATGACCTATTGCAATGGCTGTGTGTGAGTTAAAAAAGAACTCTAGCCGAAATTCATCTAACATTTATTTCTGTGCTATGCGAGCACCAACAACAAAAATAAAAAAATAAAAATAAACTTAGTCATACTACCCTCTTCATATCCACGTGGAATAGCAGAGCCAGGAAACCTTCCTAGTTACCAAAACATTCTAAGAGGTTTGTAGACCTTTTTAATGTACCAAGGAACAACGAAAAGGAACCAATACACACGGAGCATTATTGTCTAAGCTTGAGGTTTTACATTTTACTTACTGTGTCTTGTATTTTTTTTTTTTTTAAGTCCACCCTGGCACTGCGCTGGAATCCTTTTGTCCTATGCCATGCCTAGTTTATTTTACATTAGGTGAGGTTACTTCAAGTTCAAGCATGGGCTCTGGAGGTGAGCCCATGAACTCGCCAAACTACTTAAAACTCCTGCACGCACCTCAGTGTCTGCATTTGCAAAAGGAGATAAGCAGCCCCGATACCACCACGGATCGGGGTCCCTGCAGTGAGGTCAGTACATGGAAGCTGGCTCTGACCCTGTCACTCATATCACCATTATTACTATCATTAGTGCAGGAGCTCCTTCTCTCTTTTACAGATGAGGAAACGGAAACAGTACAATTTATTACTCATTTTTACCACCGAGTGCTAGGTTTCAAATTAAAAGTTCAAATTCACTGTGGCGTTCGGGATCAGGGCGGTCATGAGCCCAGCCTGTCACTAGGAGGCATGAGAAAGGGTAGGCAGCCACACGACACGAGGCTCCGAGCGGGCACCGCCTCGCGGACCTCGGACGCCGCGGCCTGGTTCCCGGGGTCCCGCGCCTCGCTCGCTCGGGAAAGGCGCCCGCTGGGGGACCGGCGGGCAGAACCCCGCAGGGGGTCCCTGGGCAACGCCACCCCGGTCCCAGCCCCCCGTGCCCCGCCACGCCCCGGGGTGACAGGCGGGGCTCGCGACCCTCCCTGCGAGAGACCCTCCCTTAGGCAAGGCCGGGCGGGGGCGGAGAGCTGCAGCCGGACGTGGCGGCCTCGGCCGAGTCCCCGAGACCGGACTCCGCCCGGCCCAGGCCGCGATGAGACACGCCGGGACAGCCCTGGCTGCCCGGAGCCCACGCCCGCACGTCCGTCCGCCTGCCAGCCCGCCCGCCCGCGGCCTTACCTTTCCGCAGCGTCCGCCCGGCACGCGCGCGGCCGGAGCTCCGCCGCGTTCCGCCTCTCGGGAGGGTCTCGGGCGGGTGTCGGCGGGCCTCGGCCCTTCGGAGGGTCTCGGGCCGGGGTCGGAGGGGCTCGGCTTCTCGGCTGGTCTCGGGCGGTGTCGGCGGGGCTCGGCCGCTCCGGCGGGTCTCCGCGGCTCTTCAGCGCGTGGGCGGAGACTCGGGCCGCCGACTCCCTCAGGAAGCCGGGCCGGCCCCGCCCCCGCCGCGGAGATCCTTCTCCCAGGCCGGCCGCCAGGCCTTTCTCTCCCTCCGGAAACGCATTCCTCCGTGCCGCGTCAGCCGCGCCCGAAGGAGGGGGAGGCGGCAGGAAGAAGGGAGGTGGGGCTGGGTGCAGACAAAGGAGCCTGGCCGCCGGGCCCTCTCTGCAGAGGGCATGGCGATGCCGCAGCGAAGGCGCCGGCTGCCCGGCGGGAGGGACCAGCCGAAGCCGGTGTCCCGTCGCCAGGGACCCCGGGCCTGACCTGTCCGTGGGCTGAGGGCCGAGGAGGATGGAGTGGTAGCGTTCTGCAGGCAGCTCTCGAGCCTCCCGGGCACCCTGTGGGTGCAGCCTCCCTCCCGCTCCACCCCTGCTCTGCCACCCTGCCGGCCAGGGAGCTGCTTGTGCATTTGTATGAAAAAGGAAAAATGCTTGTGTTTACGGATTTATTTTCCCTTCTCTGGGAAAAAAAAAATAGAATTGAGAAGTAGCCGGCCAGTCTCAGAATCTAAATGAGAAGCTTGAAGTTTGGGTCTTGCCACATCATACCGAAAGCCGTGTGGCAGGCAGGCAGGTGCCAGCAGCTTGCCCGAACAGCGTGAGCTGCCGGGAGCAGGGCGCCCTGCCGCAGACACAGCTCTCGTTGCCAGGTTTATGAACCCTAGAAGCAGTGTTTCTGTTCTGGAAGAGTAAAAAAAAATGAGCTGCCCAAATAAATACAATAGAAAATGATCACTATGGAAAAGTTACATATTGCCCCACCAGCCAATCAAATGTATTGTTGAACTAAACTCTCAAGAAATGAGCATCATTTTTCCTAATTAGTAAATGACGGAGCTTAGAGGCTACTTCTGCATCATCAGCCCAGTGGTAAAGCTCCATGCCCTTGCCTTTAAAGGTATTGATTTTAACCACTTCAGAGTTAAACCCTTCGCCCAGTCTCTGCACAGGAAACTACTATATAAACATATTTCATCCATGCTTGGCCTGCACTGCGTGGGTGTTTGATTTGGGGAGGCGGTAACAATCTACCACAAGATCCTAAGCAGGCTTCACAGGCAGCTCTAAAACTCAGTTCCTCAAGAACAGCTATCAACAGCTACTTAGGAGACACCCAAGTAAATGGTGCGCTTGTTCTGCTCCCCACCCCCCGGGGGGGGGGTCAGCCTAAGCTGAAGGAGTCCAATTTCCATTGCCGAAGTCGTGAGCTTTGAAGAAGGGAGAAACTGATAAATGCAACAATTGCTCAGAAATGTCGCTGTGCTTGAATTCATACAGATGTTAAGAAGCGGACAGTTACTTAGCTATCGAAAATGCACGGGCATTGTTCTAGTTTCTTGTCTTTTACTGGGACAATACCTGACAAAAGCTATTCAATGGAAGAATTCATTTTAGCTCACAGTTCCAGGGCACAGTCCACCTTTGGCAAGGAAACTGTGGGTTGTAGTGGCAGAAGCTTGAGGTCATATTACACCCACAGCCGTTTACCCTGTGCCTGGGGGGATTGAAGATACCTGGGCAGGGAATACAAACGGCCTCTGGCCTTCTCAAGGCCCTTCCCCCACTAGAGCATTACTGCGGTGTTGGTTATTCTCAGCAATAGCTGCGGCACCTATTTAGTAATAATTCAGGGGTGAAGACAGAATCCTTTTAGTGAAAAGTGATGTACAAGAAACAGTGATGTGGGCCATCAAAAGTTCCTGTCCTACAGTTTCAAAACATATTGTATTTTTTTTTTAAAGAACAGTCCCAGCTGGGCAGTGGTGGCGTACACCTTTAATCCCAGCACTCAGGAGGCAGAGCCAGGTGGATCTCTGTGAGTTCGAGGCCAGCCTGGTCTACAGAGAGAGATCCAGGACAGGCACCAAAACAACACGGAGAAATCCTGTCTCGAAAAAAAACCAAATAAATAAAAGAACAGTCCCTGCCCTGCCCAGCATCCTTCATTGGTTGCATTTCTCTCGGTGCTGGAGTCCTTTCTTCCAAGTCATCAGGATTTCTACTGGCAGGCACAGGCCCAGCCTCGGGCTAGGAGCGAGGTGAGCGAGTCCAAGCTTGGACACGTTCTCACCCTGCAAAGGTTTGAAGTCATCCCTCAGTCGTGTTTTGCTGCCCCTGGACGTCTTTGCCGTTCTTCTATCCAGTTCATGGACTGTGGTGTCTGAGCAGTGGTGGGATTTGGAATTATCAGACAGTTTCTATTTGAGGTGGTCGCAGATGAGACGTGCCAGTATTTTCCAAACCACAGGTTCCCTTTCTTGTTGAATTCCAGTCAGAAACAATCCACATTTTTCAGATAAGGGATAAGTCCTTCTTTAGTCGCTGTACCCACCATCCCTGTACTGGGGCTCAGCGTGATCTCTGGCACCAGAATCTCCCATGCAAGCAGCATGGTAGACTAATGCTCCATCCCGAAAACCAGGGTACAGGGGAAATGCAAAAGTCATCTTGCTTGTAACTCACGCACAGTGTATCTCCATGTCTCCATCTCTATTAAGATGAAGAACACTCTTTATTTTCTTGTAAAGAAGACAAAATTACTCTTTGGTCACCTCTGGATGTGCGTACAAATTTGCAAAATGAAAACAGGTTGCTCTGTCCTAAATATGACACTTTTTTCTTTATTAAAAAAAAATTGTACGTGCATGGCTCTTTTGCCTGCATGTGTGTCTGTGTACCACATGCATGTCTGGTGCCTGGGGTCTCCACAAGGTATCAGATCTTCTGGAAACTGGAGTTATAGTGAGTGCCATTGGGTGCTGGGACTCAAACCCAGGTCCTCTGGAAGAGCAACAAGTGCTCTTAACCGCTGGACCATCTCTCCAGCCCTGCCACCACTTTTTTGTCTTTGAGTCAGGGTCTCATGTAGTCCAGGCTGGCCCTGAACTCATTATGCAGGCATGGCTGGCCTTAAAGTCCTAACCCTCCTGTCTCCAGAGTACAATCCCTTTTTTAAAACTGTGAGAGTCGAGCATAACTCTATAGAATACCACCATGGGATCCATTCCCAGCACTGAGGGGGAAAAAATGAAAACACAACTATGAAGCCGCACACACTGTGAAAAAAACAGCCCTGGGAATTACTGACATTTTGCAAAACTAAAAAAGGTGAAACAGTCCTCTCAGTTCCTGCTTTTTCTGTCTCCAAATAAGTAAATAACATACAAAAAGTCATATAATGCACAGAAACTGGAAGTTTCTTGATTTGGCAAGTTTTTGACTTGGGCTTGAAGGTCTCCTCCATTGAGTGATAGAGACAGTCAACAAGAGAAACTGTGGATTGTCTGCGGTACAACCACCTGTGGGGCATACATCCTATGTGTCAGGGTACTTGGATAACTTTTTAAACTTTCTGTTTATTTATTTGGGGGTAATGGTGTTTGTTTCATTTTGTTTTTGTTTGTTTTCCATCGTGGAGATAGAGCCCAAGGCCTTGCTCATACCTTAAGGCATTAGGCAGTCCTTCATTTCTCTGCATACCGAAGAGCATGCTGGGAAGTGGCAGCCGCCTGCTCCAGTCCTTGCAGCTTCAGCAAGCCAGTAAGTCTTCCCCCTTCCCAGGTAAGTTAGTGGTGCCTGACTCAAGGCTTTGTATATGGGTGGCATATGAGTAAGGCTGTCAGCTCTGGCCCTGCTTCCTGGATTCCATATATAGCATCCCTGCTTTTCCTTGGCTCGGGCCACAGAGTTTTGTTTCCACTGGGTGTGAGCATTCCTTGCCAGCACTCAGATGCTGAACATTTTTAAGGGCCTAGAGGGAGCAGTGTTTGGGGGCAGCTCTCTGCAAACACTGAGTTTGTCCAGCTGTAGAAGGGAATGTGCCTTCCTAAATAAGAAGGAATATGCCAAACATGAGCACTTGAACAGCACTGAAGTTATTTTGGGAGCCAGGGTCACTCATTACAGGAAATGAGGACTGTAGAGAGGGCTACTGACTGTGAGACAACGTCCTTTCTTCCTTCTTTTAACTTAATATTATCTGGGAGAAATGGAGCAGTTACAATCCTGAATTAGAAATGGCTTCTTTTTAGGATAGATTCAGTGAGAAGTAGGAAGGTTTGCTTTTCCTAAAGAAAAAAGAAAATAGATTTGTTAGGAACATCTCCCTACATTCACTGCCTCCAAATTAATCCTCACATCTTATATTAGTGAGAATTCTTGTCCCACCAAGTCCTTGTTTCAGACCAATAAATAAAATACCATTGAGGCCTCGAAATTTGTAAGCAGAATTTCATATATACATCCATATCTTCATTATTTTGATTTCAGCTACATGTTAGCTTCAAAATATTAAGAAACATTATTTTAAGCGCAAATATAAATAGTCCCTTCTATAAATAAGGTTCTTAAATAAACATCTTTGCTACTTGCCCTGGGACTTTGAGCTATATATATATTTATTAATGGTACCTGAGAAAAGTTTCAACACATTAGCTAGGTCTCCCAAATACTTCTTTATAATAAGAGTTTCATTGCATATTATTTATATGTAGAAATTGAACTGACCTCTGATCAAACTACATAACTGAGGAACTGTTTGTACTTTTTTTTCCCCAAAGTTAAAAAAGAAAAAAAAAAACTTCAAAAGGAAACTAGAGATTTTTATTTCAGATTCTCAGTTTAAGGGCCATGGGTGTGGCTCAATGGTAGAGCAACTTCTTAGTATGCACAAGGTCCAGGGTTCAGTCTCCGGCACTGAAAAGAAAGTCGTCATTTTAGACAGTAGAAGTGAAATGCCTTCAACAAATTGTATCTAAAAATGATCCAGATTGAGGGCTGCAGTGCATGGCTCAGTAGAGTACTTGCCTAGCAAGTGAGAGGCCCCAAGCTCCAGTCCCAGCACCACCAAAAGAGAAGTAAAAAATAAAAAAGAATAAGAACTGGAGAGCTGGCTCGGTCGGCAAGGGCACTTGCTATTCAAGCATAAGGTCCCAAGTTCAGATCCCACCACCCAAATAAAATACTGGGCCTGCCATGCCCACTAGCCTGTCACCCTAGGACTGTGGAGGATGGAGACATGAAGATAACTGTGGATTGCTAGCCTAGCTCCAGGCTCAGTGAA